AAATAAAATATGCTAGTTGCAAAGCACTTCATAGAGAGGCTTTCATGTTCAGTTAATGGTTCATGGGAAAGTGAACATGACTGGAGGCAAAGAAAATTCTTCCTCTGAAAATGAGAGACTCCCAGATCATTACTTGAGCTCTCAAGTATGATCAGGGTGTGTGCGCCCACTTCCCAAGCAAGGGGCACAGTGGGGGTGTGGCTCCCTGACGCATCTCACCACTATGCCTATCCTTTAGCAGGGATTTCAGGCTAGCTAAAGCCTTCCTTATGGGTGATGACTAGCCTTTACCAAGAGTAAGTAGGTTATCTTTGCTGTCAGAACTACGTACTTTTCAGTAAATGACCTAGAATTCATCTATCCAATATACAATGTACTCTGTAATCAAATTCTCTACACCCTCATTTGAGTAGTTTTCATTTATAACTAAAATTCAGATGAAATTTTTAGGAGATAAAATGCTAGCTTCTTTCTTTCAGATGCAATTTAATTTGCAAGATATAAAATGCATCCTCCAAGTATATTTTTAAATTATTTTTATTTTGTGTATGTATTTGCCTACAGTTTATGTGTCCACCATGCATGTGCCTGGTGCCTGGAGGCTAGAAAAGGAAGCCAGATCCTTGGCACTGGAGTTGCCAATGGTTATGAGATGTCACGTGATTGCTGGGAACCGACTCCAGGTTTTCTGCAAAATCAGCCACTGAGCCGCCTCTGGTGCCCTAAACTGCGCACACACACATGCACACGCACACGCACACGCACGCACACACACACACACACATGCACATGCACACACATTCACACATACAGATATACACACACATGTGCACAGAGACACACACAAACCACAGACAGCACACATATAGACATATACCCACAGTTACACGAAAACCGCACACACACACTCACACAGACACAAAACCCATACACACACCAAACACAGACACACATACATGTACACACAGAGATATACACACACAAACACACATACATGCATACATGCACTCACAAACACAAACACACAATAAATAACGATACATTTTAATAAAATGCTATTTTTAGTCATGTAATTTCAACCTAACACCACCCATTGGCAGTCTGTTTAGTCTTCATGGAAATTATTTAGAGGCAGGAGGCACTCACAAACTTTTCGGCCACCTTGGTACCGAGTCGTCTAGTGCATGGTTATTCTGGCTATTTGCTGTTGTGTAGCAACAGGAACAGGCTCTTCCTGCTACTTTAGTGGGTCTCAGTTCCATCAAGAAGATTATCAACTGATTCTTGGAAAGCATGAGAACTTGAAGACCTAAAGCCTTCTTGTGACAATGGCTCAGTAATAAATTCACAGGACAATTTTACATGAAAACCGCTGGAAGGCCCCCTCCTTACATCCAGCTACAATCTTCGCTGATCAGAAAGACAAGCCAGATTTTCCAAACATCTTCCCGTGTTATGCGCTCTAATGAGAAAGGTAAGTCATGCATGCTGAGATAAGAAGACAAGAGAATTTATACTTCATTGATCACCTGCTACATTCTGGGTTCTTGCAGAACAGTATATAGTCTTGACATAGTCTTATGAGGTGGTTGGTGAAGCTCACTTGATAAGTAAGGAAGTTGGTATCAAAGAGGCTACAATATCAGTCAATTGAAAAGTTGGAGTCTGAAGCCAGGACCATTTCATTTCAAAGTCCAAACTCTGCAAGAACTCTATGCATGCCAGCCTCGCACATACAGACACGATGATATAAAACACACTATCACACCATATACCCAACAGCACCAAACAACTGGGTATAGTGAGTCCACAGCGGTCAATACCACTACATTCTACTGTCGGTACTCATCTGTTTGGCATTTGAATCTGGCCTCAAGTGGGAAACCAGAAATGTTTGTGAAAGTTCTGTGCTTGTGTGTCCAAAATGAGAACCTCAGGACCGACCGAGAATAAATTCAATAAATTTCATTTGGTTTTATTTCTACCTCAGTCTCAGACAGCTGAGTTTGCTGGCTAAGTTTCAAATGACTATATTATCAGTGAGGATTTCCTCCCCCTAAGGAAACCAGTTTCATTGAGTAGAACCATTATATTATGATATTGTCATGTGATTCTGACAGTGCTCCCACTGGAGCTGTTTTGGATTTTTAGGATCGATGATGAGAGGGATCCAACTTTCTGCCTGGTCTAAACTGTTTATAAGTATATATTTGATATTGGGGGGGCACATAAAAATGCTGAAGCGGAACATGAGGGGGCGTGGGATGTCTATGCTGCTCCCCCATGTATCTCCATTGCTTAGGTTTGTTCCTGAAATCCTCCTCTGGGTTTTTAAGCAACAAATGCCACAAACGCTCATAAATTTGGTTAATGCCAGGCACTGATGCTTCAGTGGCTTTCCCAAGCTAAATTCTTAGGCCTAATAACCCATACTCTCTAATGCAGTATTTCTTCTCACTCCATCAATAAATAGATATTTTCTTTTTTCTTTGTCATGGTTCTCTGGACATTTTAATTCCCCTAAGGTAACTGGCCTTCTCTGGTTCTGATTGTCTATAAGTTGTCTAGTGGATTTTTTGTTTGTTTGTTTTTTGAGACAGGACTTCTCTGAATAGTTTTGGTGTCTGTCCTGGATCTCACTTTGTAGACCAGGCTGGCCTTGAACTCACAGAGATCTGCCTGCCTCTGTCTCCCGAGTGCTGGGATTAAAGGCATGAGCTACCACTGCCTGGCATGTCTAGTGGACTTTTTTCTAGTTGACAAATTATGATAGTTCCAGGGAATATGGTAAATTTGATGTTAAGGTTATAAGAATAGCTAATATTATAAGATACTTTACAAAAGGCTTAGAGGTATTTTTATTATTGTTATTATTATTATTATTATTATTATTATTATTATTATTATTGTGTATATTCATCATGTTAACCACAATCTTCCTCACAGTAGCTCAAGGCGAGAACTAAAATTTAACACACATCTGCACATACCTGGCAAGATATCCTACTGCACATGCCTACCACAATCCTCTATCAGTGTCCTCATTCTAAGTGTGCCAAGGTCAAGTGGCCAGTGGACCACAGTAGGCTATACTTTGAATGCACGTCTATCTGTCTCTCTAATCACTCTATGTGATTTTTCACCCACACTCAGTACCCAACACGGTATTTGTGGAGTGATATCTTCATGTGATTGCTATCCCTCCTCTAGAAAAGTCTGGTTTGGGGGAGAGGTCATGGCTGTTACAGCTGTTACGACCAGCCTAAGGACCCATTGGAATGTTACACGCTATGGCCCATCCCTTGGTAGATAATTAGTGTGTAGTGAAGAGGGACAACTAATGCAGCCGCAGAGCCAGCTTTGTCAATCATAATGATCCTTTGGGGATGGTATTTCCGCTTTCCTGTCAATGCCATTGCGGAAACTAGTGAGTAAAGGTGGGGGTCAGCCAGCAAACGGAGACACGGAAAACTGACGGCAGCAGCCGTGGATTTGTTTAAGACTGAAATGTCAGGTTTGCTTCATTATTTTAAAGATGGTAAGATTTGCAGCCCTTTCATGATGCTCCAAATAAGGTAACTGAGAATGCTGAAACAAGACGTCAGACTTTTATATTTGGGGTGTGTGTGTATGTGTGCGCTTTTGATATCAAATTTGTGCTTTGGCCATGAAAGAAGTATTTTTGCACTCTTCCGGTTTAAGCCGGAGATGGTCATTATGCTGTCGAACTAGCTGTGGGAGCTCTAGATATACCTGGTATCAAGATTTAAAGTAACATGCATGTCTTGGTACTTGCTGCCCATCTCCAAGGAGATTGATATGGATATAGATTGAGCTAATATAGAATTTCCTTCTCAGGCAATAACAGGATGGGGAAGGATATGACAGGCAGAAGAAGTTTGTGGTTGAGCAGGGAGAATGTCTCTAGTCTCCCAGCTCAGCCACCCCACTCCCGTCTTTCCAGACACATGACCAGGCTGCAGTCACACTGCATCACCATTTCATCTGTACCACTGAGTGACAACCTGGCTTGCTGGTGGAGGAGCAATAGCCATCGCCCGAGTCTCAATGTTTGTGCGACATCGTGCAGCTCTGCTAGCCAAGGAGCATCTCATTTGCCATTGCCCATGGTTCTGCGAGTTCCCTGATGAGGCACGTGCTGTTGTGAGCCACTATGGGAACCACAGTAAGAGATTTTAAATGACCCCAGGGCAGTTATGGCTTGTCTTTATTTACATTTTGATACTTTGTTCACCATTGATTTGGAGTATTAATTTTGAAATTTTAAAGTATCTCATTAAAATACTTCGTATTTGGATGACGATGTTGTATAGCACCCCCTAAAATCTTGCTTGCTAAGCAAGTTCCTTATCCAACTGGCCCTAGGCTGTGCTCTGACGATGGAGTCTAATTAATTTCTTTATTGTGAATATCATGAGTTTTAAAGACATAGATATCTGGTATTTGGCACCATCTATCAGTATTAAAGCAAAAAGTCAGCAAAAAGGTTTCAAATGGCCTTCTACTTTGAGTTGCAATTGTAGAAGGGAAAACAATATGGCATATTAAATAGTGATAGTAAACAAACTCTTTGAGAGATACTCTGTTAGGCAGTATGAGATGAAAGATGAGTGATATACAGTCTTTGCCAAATGGTGTTTAAGACCTACAAGTTGTTAATTACTTTTGCCAGGATAAATGGGACATTTCACTGAGTGAAAAACAGCATATTAAATCATCAGATTTCACACCCCTTTGAAGTGCTTTCTACCACATTCAGCCTAAAGTTGAGGCTTCATTAATTAATATTAACTGACAGAAAATAGCAACACGGGAAATACTCTCAATTTGCCAAATACACTCAGTTGATGCTTTTAGGTGATGGTTGTTGGTCGTGATAAAATTTGAAATTATCTAAGGATTTTGATCCCTTTCTGGCTATTTCTTAAGCAGATTTATTAATCATTGAGTAGAAGAGAGTTTATTACTCATGTTCTCACCATTCATCTCTTCAAGTTCACTGTTGATTCCAACATCAATAGAATTCATTATTTTGTCGATCTGTGAAAAGCAAAACATGTAAGCAGGTCATTACATATGTTTTTAATCATTGCATTTAGAAATAACCACTAAATGCAACAAGTGTATATTCTTGGCAGTTCTTGTTATTGCCACAACAAACTGAAATTCAGAGACCAATAGTACAAGATTTAAAGGCAAGCAAACATCTTTTAATTTTCAAAAATATATAAATTATGAATGTACCTATTTTTACAAATAGATGGCTCACTAAGTCAGAAACCATGGAGTCTTTAGACCCAGAAAAGAAGGGCTGAGGATAGGTTCAGTGTCAAGTCTGCATTCTCTGTCATCATGCTCCTTCTCCCAGAAGGCAGGAACACTCACTGGGAAAGGCAGGTTTTAGTTTGCAGACATGGTTGCTGGAGTCAAGTTCTAACTAAGTGATTTGAGCAACCACAAGACAGTTGGGGGCATTAATTAAAAAACATAGCCATTAAAACAACTTTTAACATTTAATTTGAAAGTTAAATGCTTTAATCTTATCTCATAAAAAGAGATTTCAATCAAGATTTCAGGAGTTAAAATTTTAAAATTGGACACACTAATAAAAACTATCATTATATAGGTTTGGAATTTAGATACTAAACTCTAAACTCTAGGCATTGAAAAATCTCCCCCTCCTCATATTAGCTACCTGAATGAAATAAAATGGAAAGTTTCAAAAGTACAATGAACATTAATTACTTAAGTGTTCCAATTTGTTCATTGTGAAAAAGATGCGGAGATAGCAAGTGATTTTTTTTTCTCAAACAGCTCAATTCAGAAAGTCAGTATCAGAGTCAGGTTTATTTCTAGTTCTCAGAATACCATAGTGATCTCATGTACTTCAAAGCTAAATCCACCTGATATAGTCTTTCCACAAACAAAAAATGTAACCTGTTAGGATGAAATATCAATTGAGACTTGGTCCATTCTTTAAAGAAATTCAAGAAAAATCAAGAAGCATTACTATTTTATAATGTGGTTGATTCCCTTAGGGAAAAAGAGATTGCACAGTTTTACAAGGACCCTTTATTTTCTGAATAATTCTTTCATATTAAAGACTTTGTCTTAAGTAGAGTTTAAAGTAGCGAGACTTGACCCTGAGATGTGTTTCCTCTTTAATGTGTCCCTCATAGCTACAAATGGGAAATATTAAATGATGTGTATTTGTTACATGATTCTCGAAGGAGAGCCAGAACTGCCAGCTTTCCCATTAAGGCTAGAATCCTAAGGATCTCTTCTGAAAATATGAGATACTTCAAAGAAGGAAGGCATGATAACAAAAAGTTCAGTGAGTAGCAAAACAACACAGAGCAAAATAAGACTTTTCCAAAATAAGATTTTTCTCAAACTGTCAGCCACAGTGCCTGGTGGGACATGATGGGAGCATTCTCCTGTACCTCACAGCTACTTATTACTTCTGCTTGATACCAATTTCTATGGAAACAAAGTGTCCCCCACACGTGTAGAAATGTGCTCACTTTTCCACTTGCTGTGAAATTACTGTGTATTATCCACAGAACCTTGCCTTTCCTGTTGGAGCTGATGCATTTATTACCCACCCCCACCCCCAACTCAGCTTCTGAACGACTTTAAAAACTGAAAATCTTTCCTCCAAACCTCATTCGACTCCAAGCCCGTACGAAGATCAACAAGAAAAGTTGGGCTTACTTCTTCCCATTCAGATGTGAAGGAGGGTGTCCTTTCAGAATTGTCTTTAGAACTGCGTTCAGCCGTAGATGACTCACTCCAATTAACTCTCGCTTTGTCCTTTGAAGGGTAGGCAATAAGATCAGAATCAGACTTAGAGACATTTTTGGATAGGTGCATGTCGATCAGGGCTTTAGGCAATGACCTTATTCTCCCCAGAGTACACGCTCTCTCCACAAAGCCCCCTGTATTCACGCCCCACTGGTCACCAGTGCGGGATCCGCTTCTAGACGTTCTTGTTCCAACAATGGTATGGTTCTCGAGCTGATGGCTTCTTTTGTGGAAAATTGTTCTACTGACCACTTTGGGTTTAACTTTCTTTACCAAAGGCTCGGAGTTATTGTCTATGGGGGTCTGTTTGAAAGGCAAAGGACTGCTTGCCAAACTGACTTCGTCTTGGCCATCTTCACATGGATTTCTTTTCCCATACAGATGAAAGGGATTTTCAGGGGACTCGCATGCTGGAGAAGATCCATGGAGAAGGCCTGCAAACTGCCCAGCATCATATTCTTTGGGGGGATCATTGTCTTCCTGCTGAGAGAGGTCATCTGCAAGAAAGATAAAGGTTGTCAGGGTGCTTGCTTACAAATGAATCTGAAAGCCATGAAATGGTGCCATGTGTTTATGAACTTTCACATACCCAGACATTTGATTTATTTATACACTGTAACACCTTTGCTTTAGGAAATGCCCATGACCTTCTACTGCCCCATAGGAAATGCATACAAATATGTGTGTAGGAGGAAGGTTATGCATTTGAACTAAATGTCTCTGATACACCTTAGGGTTTATTTCAAAGATATAACCTGAGTGACACCACTGACTATATATCCTTCCTTCTTGACCCTAGGGTATATGTTTGATATTAAATGAACAAAACTGGGTTTCCTGAAGTGGGATAACCATATCCCAAGCCTCACAGTTAGTGGTTATTGTGTAGTAGGCCGTCAGGAAAACCCTCCTCACTTCTCTCATCAAATAAATTCAAAAGCAAAATCCTGGGGGATATATTTAGCAGAAATTTAAGATTAATAATCCTGAAAGTATTACTTTAAGTATTAGGTGAAGATGTTATTCAGATTTCATGAGCTAAACAAAGGGGAAGTTTTCTGGCTCAACACAGGTGAGTGGTACATCTATAACATCACTCAGAAGCATGACCCTTCCACAAAACTGATGTTGAGATGTTACATGGCATTCTTTCTTTCTCCTCTGAAATTGCACACCGTCTGGTTCCTTTAGATCTTTGCAAGTGCAATGCATAAAAGAAATCAAAGAATGGCGATTTTTTTATTGCCTTAGAAATGTTTCTAAGATAAAACAGAAAAAAATCTCTCTGTGATTTAAAATACATTATCTTTTTGTACACCTTGATTTTTCATAGAAAGAGAGACTGAGTAAAAACTTGTCTACAGGACTTAGCAAAGGAAGACAGTTTATTTTGTTTTACAGAAGTAATATTAATTCATAGAGGTCGCTAAGTACTTGCCAAGATGGAAGTTATATCATGGGATAGGCCTAGAGCCTAGTCTTGAGAAGTCAGAAACAGCCAATGTGGGGCTGATTGGCTGAGTGACACTTTGAAAAAGTTAATGATTATTACAAGACTCAATTTCCAAAGAGTTTATGAGTTAACAAGTAACATTTAATGAGCATGGGCTACTTCTAGGCACTGAATTGAGAGTTACATTCACAGCATCTCATTTCACCTTGTGATCTAGTTACTAACAATAAACATAATTTTCTGAGAGAAAAATCTATGGACAAAATAACAAATTTTTCTACTTTTAAAAATTGGAAGCCACAATGAATCTCAGCTGACATTTGTTCAGGAGCGGGTACAGACGAATCTATTCTTGGTACTGCATGGGCCCTAGGCCTTCATACTTCTCTCTCTCCTGCAGCAGGTAAAAGAACGTTTCTTCTTGGCTCTGCATATCTCCAAACCTCATGCTGATTCAGGCTAAAATTTCCTGAGGAGATCATATTTTCCTACCCAGACCTATCACGCCAGCACCTTAGAATGGAAGAAAGAAAAGTGCCAGGAACTATCAACTATCTGAACAAGAAGCAATCTATATTCATCTACTGCTAGGCCGTAGCCATATTGGTTTTAACACAAAAACTCCATCTCTTTGCAAACAGTTACCATGTTCTCTATCAACTGTATTTGGTACTCTTCTCGCAACAGAGATCATACTTGGGGCAGAGGTCATAGTTGGTTCAAGACAACCATCAATTCTTTAAGGACTAGTGTTTATTGCTTCTTATGTCTACTTGTTAAGAAATCAAACCAATACACAGCTTAGCTTGTTGAAGTTTCTCTGCTTTGCATGTAGTCAAGCTATGACTCAACCCAAGGTCTAATGGACGCCAGCATCTTCTGGCTGGAATACTCATCACTACTGAGACAAAAGAATAATTTGTGTTGGCTTACTAAGAAAATCATGGGGGCTCATACTGGAGAGGGTCATGGTTTGCTTTCTCATGACTATTTTTGGAATGTAAAAAAATGAAGTGCTTTTTCTCAGAGACAAGCTAATATTAGTAGGAAGTAAGACCTGGCAACCTCTTCCAATTTATTTTCTCTTCCTTCTTCCTGGATGACTTGGACTCTCCACCGCACTTTACAGCTTGGAATGAGATGACAGTAATGGTGGGGAATGGTAAAAAGGGAGAACCGTGGAGCAAGGAAGTTTAAAATTGCATTTTGAATGATGCTGTAAAGGCTAAAGTGATTTAGTCTGGAAGGAAAATTGAAGAGTGTGGAAAGACCTATTATCAGAAAAAGGTCTATAAATCTTAGTCAAAAGGGCTTGTGACCATGTTAGTTATCTGGAATAATGAGAATTTTAGGGACAGTATATTTAAAGTTTAAAGGATTCTGTGAGTGATAGTTTAAGGTTATCATCACCTCTGTGTTTTGACTAAAATGACTATAATTACAATCTCGAGTGATTCGTATAGACCAATCTCTCTGGGCACAAGCAGCCACTTCTTTAAATGAAAGGGAATTTAGTTCTTAGCTTGTAAGCTTAGCCTTTGAATAACAGTCCTCAGCGTCATGACAGTTGAAAACATGTTGGCCCAGAGTGGTAGAATAGTTCTTGCTTACTTCAGGGGTCAAATTTTAAAGGTTACTCAAATCAAAGAAAATGAGAAATTGATTTGAAACCTGAAATGACTGATCATGATTCATCCACCCTTCCCTATAGCCACACCCCTCCCTGCTCCCAGTCCTGGACACAGACTGCCACTGGGGCCAAGTGCCTCACATTAGTCAATGAGACAGAAGCCAACACAATGTGGGATGTGGACAGTCTAAAAGTGCTTCTGCATTTAACCAGATGCTCTTGGAACCTCATCACCATGTAAGGCAGGATGAACTGCTAGATGATGAAGGGACACATCCAGTTGTTTTAAAATGTAGTATTTTCTTTTAAAGGAATGCTGGAGTCAATACAGGAAATGATTGCCACTGAAAAAATAGACTGTTAATTCAAAGATCCAAGGAGAGGGACTTATCTCACTCTGTGGGGCCGCAGGAAGGTACATGAGTCCAGATAAAAGGCAGAGGGGCTAGGGAGATTGTGAGCAAGTGTTTTTTTCTGGATTCTATGGGAAGGAACAAGCAAAGCTGAGGTAAATTGGTTTAGATTGGCTAGTCTGAATCAGTTCAGCAGAGCAGAAGGGTAGTCTCCCGTAGCTGGTGCCTGAGCCCGGGGAATTAGAGCATCCTCAGACCTGTATGACAAATGATCACAGAATAACAGCGCGTGCCATCAGGATGAGCTGAGGTGGCCCAAAGTGGAAGAATGAGCTGAGGTGGCCCAAAGTGGAAGAAAACATCCAGATTCAGGAGCTAAATGAAGGCCTGTTATCTAAAGCCACCGGGTTTGAGGTGACTTGATGTGTTGTGACACACGATTGACTCACATTAAATCCCAACTTTTCAAAAATCTATACATTCTTTAAAAAAACATCCCACAGTGCTTTCATTTCCATATATGGAAAAAATCATGACATCAATAGTATACACCTAAATGTGTTGCGACCACTGAGCGAAGTAACAGACCTGTCTTAGCCCATTGGGTGGCTCTAACGTAACACTATGAATGTAACAGCTTACAAGTAACAGAGTTGTTCATTACAGTTCTAGAAGCCGACAAGCCAAATGAAGACACCAGAAGATTGTCTGATGAGAGCCCCTACTTTCTAGTTCATAGATAGCATCATCTACCTGTGTCCTTACCTTATAAGGACATTTAAGAGAGCCTTCTATAGGGGCACTAATCCCATTCATAAGGACTCTGGTCTCATGACTCATCAGCCTCCCAAGTCCTCCACCTTGAGCATGAGGATGCTGACTTATATATTCAGGAGGATACAGATATTTAGATCCCGGCAAGAAACCAAGACAATTTTTGTTGTATATACAAGAGAAAAATATGTTTATATTATTACAATAAACACATTTTAATCTAGGGGGTTCCATGTTTTATAAGGAAATGCAATGTTAATTGATGGCATTGTACATCAAATCAAGATTTTGTTTTTGACATGGTAACTCTGTAAGATTCATTACTTTATTTTTATTTAGACATCTTTATAAGTACACCTTAGAGAAATTTTTGCATTGTGTTACTATTTCTTTAGATGAAACTTAGGCAAAGCATATAGATTAAACTGTTTTCATAGCTTGTCTTACTCAATTTCATACTTCTCTTTTGAGAAAGGAGGTTTTTCGTGCCAAGGTAGAGAAGTATATATGTGTGAATTCCAGTCTGGTAATCATTAGCATTTCAAAGAAATGTCGAAGTCTGTACTTAGTGGTAAGTAGTGCAATCTCTTTTCCACCTTTGCTCCTGATTTTTATCACCCACATAAATATCTGAATAACAGTAAATTAAAATTTTCATGTTAGGATAAAAACCAATTATAGAAAAAAAGTGACTACTATTACAGATCCAGCTTTTGGCTGTTAGTTGACTTCATTCCCCTTCAGAAAAAAATCTAATTTCAGAGATTCTAGTGCTAATATTGATATTCATAGGGGTGATTGATTTATTTCAATACATACAGAACACATTCAGTGTATTCAGTGCAAAGTTTCCGCAGGACCAAAGGCAACATCACTCCTCCTGGGCTATTATATTTCAGAAAAAGGCACAGCTACAGGCAAATAAGGAACAGCCTTGTTTGGGATTAAGTAGTGGAGCTAGGATAACAAGGTAACGAGACAAGAATGAATAGGTGTGCTATGAGGTGAAAAGGGACTATCTTTCTGAGGAGCTGACATTGTGCAGATACAGGAATCATTGAAGAATTGAACATTCAGAGTTTGAGGGACAGTGATTATAGATAGAGGGGAGAAGAAATGAAAAGCTTGGAAAAGTCATCAAGGAAAATCAAAAGGCTACTATGGATGCAACAGATTGTCAGGGAATGCGTGGCATGGTCGGGAGGCAAAAACAAATGCAGGCAAGGGCTGATATTATCTGACATACTCCTGACAGCCTAACTTTTCCATTCACTCTTTTATCTGAGC